CTCTGCTCTGCTCTGCCCCGGGGGCACTGACGGGCTGGCGCCGTGTGCCGTGTGCCCGCAGGGGGGCTCTTCCCGAGGGGCGCCGATCAGGAGTACAGCGCATTCCGGGTAGGCATGGTCCAGTTCTCCACCTCGGAGTTCAGGCTGACGCCCCACATCGACAACCTGGAAGTGGCCAACAGCTTCGCCGTCACCAACGCTTGTGAGTACCGCGCCCGGGCCAGGGAAGGCGCCGATCGCCTTGCCCGCCTCCCTCCCCCCTTCCCCCGCGCCTGTCGTGCAGCCGGGCCAGGTTGCAAATGGTTCCTCCCCTGCCCTCTCCATCCATTACATAAGCCCGGCTGCTCGGCCCCGATCCGCGCCAGCTCCCCCCCGCCCGATCCTCAGCCGCAGCGCACCGCCCCGCGGGGCTCCGCTGCCCGCCGGCTCCGGGGCTGGGGGAGCCGGGGGCGGATCCGGCTGGATCCGAGCATCGGTAGCTGGATGGCTGCGCATCAGCCATTTTCCCCGGTTCTCCATATTCCAGCACCCTGCCCCTTCCTCCCTTCCTTTGCCCCCTCCCCCAAGTCTCGGCGAGAGGAGCTTAGGGCTGCGGGGAGAGCCGCGGCTCGGCCAAGAGCCTGTCGAAAGCATTGGATCTGCCGGGACAAAAGGAGTGCGTTGGGTCCCTGCCCGACATCCTCTGGCTCCCCCCGGGAGAACAGCCTTGCTTGCTTTCGGCAGGCTGGGAGGTTTCCCTACCCCGTCCCCCCCACGCTGCAAGGCTAGGACAACCGTGATCCCTCCCCGTTTCTTTCCCACCCTCCGTTTTCGCAGCCCGGGTTGCATCTGGAGCGATCCCGTGAGGTTTGCAGCTGGCGCAGGCGGTAGGCGAGGGGCAGGTGGGAATCCACAGCAGGAAGAGCTGAGTGCGGGGAGTCCCCCCTACAAGCCACCCCACTGCATGCCTCTGGAGCAGCCTCTTGAACGGGGGGGGGGGGGGGGGGGGGGGGGGGGGGGGGAAGACGCTGCTCCTTTCCTTTGTTTGTTTGTTTTTTGGTTTTGTTTCCTTTTGGGTTTTTTTCCCCTTACCCAAAGAAAAGAGGCAGGGAAACATCTAAAACAAATGGACCAGGCCAGGTCAGAAAAGCTGGCCTCAAGCTTTCAGCCCCAGATCAGTGGGAAGAGAGAGACATTTTTATAAAGGCCTTTGCCATGATTTATGCATGCTCCAGACTGATTAGCAAACCTTATCTAGGGTGATTATGCCCATGCACACATGCCGCTGTCCAATTACCAAGGGTATTTGGAAGGCGACATTTTTCATTGCTTTAATATGGGAGGATTGCTAAAAGCCATTGCAGAGGCTTGAAAGAGAGAAAGTCTTGTTAAAATTTGTTCCGGGAATGAATTATGAGTGTTAAGCCTGGCTGGGGAGATAAGGCCTGGCATCACCTGACTGTGGCGCAACACCTTCAAAATGAAGAAAGGTGAGGGGATGGTGAGGGGATGGTCTAACTAGACCCATGCCGGTAGAGGTGCAATTTGTAATGCTAACTTAGAGGGGAAGCTGGCATTTTTAAATAACAGAAATTGTATGATCAGCTGTTAAATCCAGGGGTCTCAAAGTGACCTGAGTATTGTCCATGTAGAGAATGAAAACCTGAAGAAAAAAAACTATACATTCTCAGGCCTTGAGGCTTGCTCTCAGTGAAAATGAAAACTCTGCAGAGACACACTTTACAAGGACAACCAAGCAACAAACACTGGTGTCAGCTCAGGACACTGATGGCCCTGATTACATGTGATAAAAAGGCCCCCAAACAAACAAGCAAAAAAATCCAACATGTTACCACAATGAAGTTTCTATTCCAGAAAAAAAGTTGTATGGAAAGGAAACTCTTCTTCCCTTTGAAGGGTAAAATATTTGAGATACTTTGAATAAGGATGTTAATGACTGGCAAGGACACAGGTTTCCTCTAACAGCCAGCTTCTTCCATAATGTTGCATAATTCTTAATCACGTTTGGTATGTTAGTATTTGAGGGCCAATAAAGACTGGAGGCCAGTTGTGCTAAGCATTGAAAAAGGATGACTGGCTCCTACCCCTAGGAGCTTAAAATCTAAATAGACAAAAGAGGGAGGGTGGGAGAAGAGGTATCATATACAAGCAAGGAAAAAACATGGTTGGAGCAAGTAGCCAATCAGAACAAGGCAGAACACTAGCTATTACACTAATGTGGGAAAAATGCCTGCATTTGTTTAATTGATGATTTCTCAGGTCATTAAATAGCACAGGAGACTCCAAGGACTTTATACTGTGCCAGGATAGTATTTGCATGGCATTTTGTTGGGGATTAGTCAAGTGAATCGAGATGTCCCTTAAAATTCTTGTCATGGAAAAAGTCAGGTGTGACCTGACTGACTGGTCTTTCTATGTTTTCTTACTCCTCTATGCTCATGAGTTCATTTAATTTAATGTGCTTTCGTTGAGATTGCACCAGGGATTTTTCCTACTGATAGCAACTGCTAATGGCAAACATGGCTACTTCTAATTTCTTCAGAAAGTAGGGGAATCATGCTTCCTTTGAACCACATTAAATGTTTTTGCCTGACTCATTCTTGAAATTCATCATTGTCCTTCATTATAATCCTACAATATTTAGATGACCAGTATAGATTTTATGAAAGGCACTGAAATCAGTATAGTTTTTACTAGGCTAGTAATATTGCCCATGCTGAAGGTTTTCCTTTTTCTTTCATCTCTGTGTGAATCATGTCCAATGAATTTTCAAGCAGCTTGAAGAACACTGTGTTAAAGCCAGCACAGCCCCTTCTGCTACATGATAAATTGAGTAAAACAAGAGTGGGTACTATGTCTTAAATGTATCACCATTAACAATTCAGAGCAGCAACAATGTTGATGCATGAAACACTTGCCAGGAATAGGTTTAGTATTTTTTTAATATCTTTCCAAGAAAGGTTTGATGGTATCGAAGACAAATATGCGATGAATCAGATAATTCACCAGTTCATGTCAGCAATGATCCTTTAGAACTGGGCATGCCAAACAGGACAATTCACTTTCTTGTCTCCTGCATTTTGTTCTTGACTGAGTACTGAGGTTCTGAAGCTGGTTGATTCTTTCTCAAAGTGGCTCACAATGAATTGTATATGTGAAACAGAACTAAAATGGAAAACTCTTTCTGGAAAATGTACCATAGCCAGTTCATTAATATTTTTCGGCAGGAGGCACTGACTGCTGAAGCCATACCTTAACCAAGTAAAAGTAATTCAGTGACCTAAAGACCTAAAGCAAAATTAGGAGCCACTTACTGTTAAGAATAATAATTCAAGTGACTGAGAAAATAAAATATTGCCCCAACTTCTAGAAACTCTACATCTCCCTTTTGAACATATAGTTCTGAACCTTTATGAATAGCTTCACAAACCAAAGACAAAAATATCACTCATGGAGCTGTAGGGGTGTGGAATGTTGTTGTAGCTATAATGGTCTAGGAAAAGTACAAAATACAAAGTTTTTTAGTGGTATCTTTTAATAGACCAACTGTATAGTTGGGGGAGATGTTGGACAAGACTGAAGAAGGACGCGTTGTGCCTGGAAGCTTGGACAACATCTCTCCCAACTGTATAGCTGGTCCAATAAAAGATATCACAAAAAACTTCATAGAGCAAGCATCCAGCAGGTGGCAGACTATACCCAACAACAGGTAACCAACAAGCAAACAGTATTTACAACTCTTTGTTCAGCACTACCTGAAACAGGTATGTAGATTAGAAGTTTTATTCCACGTATAATATACGTTTTTAAATGTAGACATGCATTATTGTTTTGCCACAGAAACATACACCAGAAGTTAACACTCACATATATCACAAAACCCATACACATTAGATACAAGACAGTGTAAGCAAAGCATGTTCAAAAGAAAAAGTTAAAGGGTAATCAGGACTTGATCACTTCTGCTCAAAATGTATTTAAGTCAAAATCCAATTTATTATTAAATGCAGTTAAATTGTGTTTTAAAAAATTGATTCACAGATTAAAACTATGTAAAGTGTTACTTCTAAACTAGGTCCCAAGCCCTCATGAAAAAGAAGGCGGCAAAGCTCATGAACCAATGACAAGGGGTTAAAGCAAGCAACAGCCCAATAAGAGCATTCTCATTTGAAGATGGCCAAAAGATATCTACTCTAAAAGGATGGGAAGGCCTTTTTGTAGTGCTATTCTGGGTGATAGTGGTTACACTAGCAGTGTGCTGACACACAGCAAATTGTTAGTTCTGGCCTCTGCAAAGGCTTGCGGCCAGATCTTCAAGCAGTCTGGTGTTAATCCAGCAACACCATTGAATTAATGTTGATTGATAACATCTGAGGATTTGGTTTATGATTTTCATAGAGATGCTGCAACTTTTACTCATTGGATGAACATTTATTTTAGAAAGTGTGAGTATGAATGGTTCTCACTAACAAAAATCCTTACGAGAAAAATGGACTAGACTCAGCCAATTGATACACAAAAGCAATTCATATGATGGTAATACAGACAGGAAAGATGAAAATCAGTCCACCATTTCAGTGTAACACAAACTGATATTTGGGATCATTTGGCTTCTAACAAATGGAATTAAGTTAGAGTATTGCAAGTGAAGAGTTCATGTCATGCCATCCACAAATGAAGCAGTCAAGGATACTGTTATATCACTTTAATGTCAGCTGCTATTTGGGACTTGCAGAGTCTAATTTTTGTGAAGATTAATTTTTGTCACAGTGTAAGACCAAAGATGGTTGAGAAAAATGAAACAGTCCTTTAGCACAACATAAGCAAGCTGAGTCTAACTGAAGATATCTTCCACAATCAATGATATCAGAAATGTATCTTGATGCAAATTGATATCAAAAGATAAAAGCGCTAGAGTGAGGTGACACAAATAATTTAATCTTTTGACCAGCAAACAGTAAGTGATATTTTATGAATACAGAGAGGTTTCCCATAGGGTACTATAAGAGCTCAATAATAGTAACAAGTTATTCATGCAGTAATCTCAGTACAGAGCTAATATATGCAAGATCTTGGAAGTGTAATTCTGCTGGCTGAAGAGGGTGTTGAGCATTACCATTTTAAATCAAGTCTTACAGCTCTGCAGGGATCACTGCACCATGACATTATGACAAGGGGATGCTGATTCATGCATAAAACTCA